TGGGGGTCTTGGGTCCCTTTGGTGTCTTTGGTTGTTTATGGGTCTTGTGCATGTTGGGGTCTTGGGGGCCTTGGAGTGTCTAGGGGGTCTTGGATGTCTTGGGAAAAGAGGGTCTGTTTCTGCCTGGTAGTGTGGGTCATTGAGGGGTCCTGGCGGGCACCTCCATCCCTTTGGGGGGGCGATGGGGGGGGGGTTGGGGGGCCCCGGGGGGGGGGGGGGGGGAGGTCGTGCTGGGGGGGGGGGTGGATAAGGAGGGGGGCGGCTTCGGGTGTCTCCAGCCTCAGTAGGATCGCGTTCTTCGGGTGTTCCTCGGGGTCCTTGGGTGTCTTGCTGTGTCTTTTGGGTGTAGTTGGGGGGTATTGACCGCCTTGGGCCGGTAGGGTAGGGCGAATTGGGGGTCTTGGGGGCCTTGGGTTTCTTGTGGGTCTTGGGCCTCTTGGGTGGCCTTGGAGCGGTTTTGGTTTGGGCTTCGTAGGGCGCCTTGGGTTTCTGGGTCTTGGGTCTTCGTTAGGGGCCCCCCTGCATTTCCTTTGGGTGGTCTTGTTGTTCGCGCAGGTGGTCCTGAGCCCCGTCTGGCCGTCTGGGGGGTCTTGGGCCATCCTTTGGGCTTCGGCTTCCCCTCAGGACCCAGTGCGTCTTGGGGATCCTTTTGGTTATTCTTGTTGGGCCTCTGGGAAGGAGGTTTTTGACGGGCCGTTTGGTCGTCCCGGATGGTGTCTCAAAGGTCGCATTGGATCTTCCTCCGCCCTTCACCTCCCTGGGCAAAATAGGAGGCCAAGACAAACAACAAGTCATGTAAGTCCAATTGCCGCTGGGGGTCGCCCTCCCTCAGAGGATGGGCAGGGCTGCTATCTGGGCGCTCTCTGTGCGTCACCCCGCGGCCCGATCGGCAATGGGCCTCTGCCGCCAATGAGGCCCTGCTCCACTCGGTCCTTCCGTTCGCCGTCCCAGCGGAATGCGGGCAGAGGGGGCCCATCCATCCTTGCCCTCCGACTGGGGGGGGGGGGGGGGGGGCACTGATCGGAACTCAGGGAGCGAGTTGCCCTCCCCTTGCGGGCATTGCGCCCGAGGGCGCCTCGTGGTGGCGGGGCTTCGCTTCCCTTTGATTTTTTTCGTTCGGTTTCGTGCGTTCTGAGAATTTCGATTGCGAACGGAGCCGAGGCGACGAGGGAGACAGACCCTGGGGACCGACGAAATACAAATCGCCCGCTTCTTCCCCTCTCCTCCACAGTTGCGCGCGCTGGCAGCGCCAAGGAGCGGCCTTCGCGGCGTCTCCGATGTCTTTCGGTGGTTTGGGCGTCTTGGGCGTCTCGGGTGCATTGGGCGCTTCGGGCTACCATCGGGTGTCTTGGGCCTTGGGCCCCCTGGGCCTCTTGGGCGTCGTGGGGTGCTCTTTGGGGTCTCGGGGGCCTTGGGGATCTTGGAGGTCTTGGATGTCGTGGGGTGTCTTGGGTGTCTTGGGGTGTCTTGGGGTCTTGGGGTGGTTTGGGGGTCGTGAGGGGTCTTGGGGGTCTTGGGGGTCCTGGGTCCTTTTGGGGTCTTTATGGGCGTTTGGGACATTCAGGGGGTCTTGGGTCTTTAGGAGTCTTGGGGGTCTTGGGGGGTCTTGGGGGGTCTTGGGGGTCTTGGGGGTCTTGGGGGTCTTGGGGGTTCTTGGGGGGTCTTGGGGGGTCTTGGGGGGTCTTGGGGGTCTTGGGGGCCTTGGGGGTCGTTGGGTGTATTGGGGGCCTTGGGGTGTTTTGTGGGTCTTGGCTCTTGGGGGCTCTTGGGGGTTCTTGGTGGTCCTGGGGGGTCTTGGGGTTTTGGGGGGTCCCGGGGTGCCTCGGGGCGGTTTGGGCTTCTTGCTGGGGGCGCGAAACGCGCGAGGGGCGCGCCAACATCTGGCAAGGGGGCGCATGCGAACGCAGCCGTTGGGAAGCAATAGTTGCATGTGAGAGCTGCGCCACAGCCGTCCCCTGTGGCCATGCGCTTGACCTCGCAGGCGCAATGTTTTTTTGCACGGCGTGGGTTTCGAATTCGCTCTTTGTAGTGTCGCATGGTGCATTTCTGATGCAAGACCACGTTTGGGAACACAAGGCAGTGCGTCGCCGAATCGAGAGCACGTGCTATGGTTTGGACATGCGCGTCAACACAGCGTGTCACAATAGCATGGGCATGGTGAGAATCCATATTCGGTTAGGTGGCCCACGCATGGGCATCACTGTCGTGCTAAAGAGTTGGTTTGCGCCTATTCCAAGATAGCACACTAAGCTGCTTTCGAACCGCAGCCCCCTTTCTTCCCCCTCGAGACGCACAGGGGGCCCAACGGTAGCGACATGGCAGCGTTTTCCAACCGTCCTGTGGCATTGGGTTCTTTCTTGAAATACAGCGCGTTGCAAGATTGCTCGTTGCTCCTCTCGTACCACCACCGCCGTTCTGGGTGGATCCGAACCATCCTGTGGTGTTGGGTCCTCGTTTTGAAGAGCCGTTCCCCCCGCGTCTCGGTCTCCTCCTCATTCTTATCCTGCTTCTCCCTCCCACCTCCCCCTCCCCCCATCGACGGCACCACCACCATCGCCAACGTCGCCCCTCGCACGTTCCGTAGCCCCATAGCCGCGGAACGCGTGAGCGAAATGCCGACATGGGTGGCGGTCCCGCGTGTCCGCGCTGCCACTGGAGCCGTCGGTTGAGCTCCCTATGGGGCCACGGGGCGTGTGAAGGGTGTGCCGAAATGGGTGGCGGTCCCGCATGTCAGCGCTGCCACTGGGGCCTTCGGTGGAGCTCGCTATGAGCTACGAGACGCGTGAGGGGCGTGCCGAAATTGGCGGCGGTCCCGCATGTCAACGCTGCCACTGGAGCCTTCGGTGGGGCTCCCTATGGGGCCACGCAGCGTGCGAGGGGTGTGTCGAAATGAGCGGCGGTCCCGCATGTCAGCGCTGCCACTGGGGCCTTCGGTGGAGCCCCCTATGGGGCCACGCAACGTGCGAGGGGTGTGCCGAAATGAGCGGCGGTCCCGCATGGGCCAACGCTGCCGCTGGATCCTTGGGTGGAACTCCTTCTGGGGCCACGAAACGTGTGAGGGGTGTGCCGAAATGGGCGGCGGCCCCGCATGTCAACGCTGCCATCGCAGCCTTCGGTGGGGCTCCCTATGGGGCCACGCAACGTGCGAGGGGTGTGCCGAAATGGGCGGCTGACCCGCATGTCAACGCTGCCACTGGGGCCTTCGGTGGAGCTCCCTATGGGGCCACGCAACGTGTGAGGGGTGTGCCGAAATGGGCGGCGGACCCGCATGTCAACGCTGCCACTGGAACCTTCGGTGGAGCCCCCTATGGGGCAGCGAAACGTGCGAGGTGTGTGTGCTGAAATGAGCGGCGGCCCCGCATGTCAGCGCTGCCACTGGAGCCTTCGGTAGAGCCCCCTATGGGGCCGCGAAACGTGTGAGGGGTGTGCCGAAATGTGCGGCGGTCCCGCATGTCAGTGCTGCCGCTGGCGCCTTCGGTGGGGCTCCCCATGGGGCCACGAAGCGCGTGGGGGTTGTGCCGAAATGGGCGGCGGTCCCGCGTGTCAGCGCTGCTACTGGACCCTTCGGTGGGGCTCCCTATGGGGCTACGGAACGCATGAGGGGCGTGCCGAAATGGGCAGCGGTCCCGCATGTCAGCGCTGCCACTAGAGCCTTCGGTGGAGCTCCCTATGGGGCAACGAAACGTGTGAGGGGTGTGCCAACATGGGCGGCGGCCCCGCATGTCAGCGCTGCCGCTGGGGCCTTCGATGGAGCTCCCTATGGGGCCACGAAGCGTGTGAGGGGTGTGCCGAAATTGCCTGCTGTTCCGCGTGTCAACGCTGCCGCTGGAGCCTTCGGTGGAGCTCCCTATGGGGCTACGAAGCGTGTGGGGCAATGCTGATGATGGTGGTGATGTCGTCGATGGGAGGAGGGAGGAGGGAGGGGGGGGAAGGAGGAGAAGAAGGAAGAGGAGACGCGGGGGAAAGTCTCTTCAAAACGAGGACCCAACACCACAGGATGGCTGCGAACAAAAAGCTAAAGGGGGTATGATGGCCGCTGGTCGGATCGCATTCGCACTTGTTGATGCGCGAGTTATATGTACAATGGCCATGCTTTCAAGGTTCTATCATTGATGGGCCTATGTTTGCCAGCCGCCAGCCTGTGTTGCGTCATGGTTCGTGTTTCCTTCCGGAGGGAAGACTTCTTCAAGGAGTCGCGCGAGGCCAAGGGGTGGAAGCTGAGTTTGGTCGACAACCCCGACGACCCGACGTCCAAAATGCAGGTCGTTGCGATGGCGGACAGCAAGGAGCTCCGCGAGGCGAACATCGGCATCGCGATCGAATACGGCATCGAGAGGTTGACCTCAGAGTCGGAGTACAAGGTTTTGGCCCAAACGCAGTTGCATGCCAAGCGAGCGAAGAGTGTTTTCGCAGATATGATAAGCGCATCTGGTTTGGAGGATCCTGCGTACAAGCGCGCTCGCCTTGCCACTCTCACGGCTGAGGATTGCACGGTGAAGGCGCTCCCAGACAAGAAGGGCGACGACGACGGCGCGGAGGATGACGGCTTAGACGAGGGCGGCGATGGCAAGGAGGCCGCGCAGGTGGGGGGCGGTCACGACGTCCCCGCACAACGGCAAGATATTGGATATTGGGCAAAGTTGAATGCCAAGGACTGGGCCTTTGTACGCACGTGCGTCCCATGCGCCTCCGACGATTATGTGGCGGATGAGAACGAGACTGCTGTGAGCACGGCGTCCACTGCAGCCAACTTGGCCAACGGGCTCGGCGAGAATTTCGACCAGGTGCTCTCCGAGAAACTCAAGGCTCTCAACCTCACCACCATTGCATCGGGAGTGTCCATGCTGGGCCACCGCCGTGCCAGGATGAAGTCGAAGAGGGACCAGTTTACGATGTCGGCCAATTCGCAGGAGAGCGAGGCCGCCAAGATCATCACAGACAAGTTGAACTTGGCTCAGGACGCAGAGGACCTCAGCAAGCCTGAGCACATGTTCTCGATGAGTGACGCCGAGTTTCGCACGAAGCTCGAGGGCCTGTCTGCTGCGGGCATGGTCATGCCAGTGAGCTTGGCAGTTGAAATCAACAACAGGAAGGCTTCCGAGATTGGCAAGAAGTTACTCGAAGAGGATGGTCATACTAAAATCCCTGACTTCTTCAATGCGGTGATGCCTGTGGGCGCCGCGGCGGGCGACGGCAACGAGCATGCTGCAGTCGACGCCAGCGAGGAGTACGACTGGAGACCTCCGTTAGCCCGCCTCGCCCCTGGAACTGAGGCCAGCGTGTGCATTCGGTTCAAGAGCGCCACCTTCAGTTACTTTGTGAAGCCTCTCTTCAATGCTTGGGGCACATCGCTGTCCCACGATGCGCGCGAGAAGCCGGCGACAGATGTGGGCGCTTTCTTGATCGAGAACACGCCCCATGACGCCCCCGAGGTGACCCAAGCATCGATCAACAAGGTCATCGAGTGCATGCGCGATGCGCTGTGCGTTCAGAACCCGCTGAATGTCGCCAACCTCCCCGACTTTGAGAGCCTCTCATCGGCGACGGCTTTGGATGACAGCGGCTGGAAGGGCATCCTCTACAACGCGCACGAGCAGATGGGCGAGTGCAGCTCTTTCAAGGCGCCGCTCCTGTCCATCGGGAGGACTGAGGTCATGCGCCATCCAAGGGAAGCTAGTATTTAGCGTTATCTGCTCCCATACTCCATCCTTCTCGCCTTTGTTCTCCTTCCCCTCCACGTTCCTCCTACGTCTCCTTGGCCTTCTCCTCCTCGCACTCCCTCCTGGCTATGTCCTGCCTCCTCCTCTCCAGGATCCCCATCCTCAGTTGCCGCCCCACCTCCTCACCATCGTCGTCCTCTCCTCGACCACCCCGTTCCATCGTGGGATCTATGCCGATTAGCTTCGCGCGGGGATTGTGCGAAAGGTGACCCACGCAGTCAACGTCGAGAAGATCAACATGGCAGTGCAGATCTTGTCATCTCTATCTGGTGATGCAACGGATGAGCAGGTCACGGCCACTCGGGCGTCAATGACAGACACGGTGAATAATCTAACTACTTTGAGGGCTGGGTCGAGGGATAAGTCGATGCGCGTCCTGGACGAGAAGCTGGCAACGTTCTGCGGGCGCGTCGCTGACCAGGACTGTTGGCACGACTGGGGTCCAACTAGAGAATGTCAGTGTCTGGTGGCACGTCGGGGCATGGGGGCACTTAGGTTGTTTTAGGAAGGTCCGTCACTGATCATCTCACCCGTACTTCGTGTTTTTGAGCGGGTCGGTTTTGTTGACCCACAGCAACGGATCTCAATAAGACAAGTTCTGGTTGTGGTGTTGCAGGGCCTTCCAAACGATTGAGGTTTTACTCTGGTGTCTGCCCTAGGCCAATGGAGAACACGTAACTAAATACGTTGTATACGTTCTGTTGCGCGTGTTCTTTGGTTCTTTGGGTGCCCTTGTCCTTGCTAACCGACTTGTCCTACACCTAGTGCCCAGGTAATCAGAGAATTTTGGTCGAGTTCATGGCCGATGGGTGTCTTGGGCGTTATGATCTCGGTGGTGTTTCCCATGCGTTCCGAGGCATTGTGGTCTGACACGTATGTTGGCAGCCGCCCCCATTCAGGTAGATGGTGGTCCCGAGACCGATTATGAAAAGTGTAAAACGTCATATAGTTCGGGGTTGCCTTCATGCGCTTCGCATGCGCCAGATTGCAAAGCTTACGGCTGACCTTTGTGTGACACTATGTGTTTTCAAGCCCCCCCCCACCCACTGGTGATTCGTAACCGGGTGTCGGTGGCAAGCCCTTGGGTTGCTTCGGCTCCCGTAAGGCTCTTGCGATCGAGACCCTGTGGAAGTCGAGTGTCACCTACGATGCTCCCAAGCTGACGTCGACAATCGACGAGCTAAAGCAGATCTCGACTTTCTTGGAGTATGCTTCCTCTGGCAACCTTGCATGCATGCCGCCCAGATGCGCCGCGGCATCAGAAGCATGCAAGGACCTGTCGAGGCACATGTCGATCGAACTATCGAAGATCGGGTTCGCTGGCCGTCTCACTGAGATCAGTGTCACAGACTTCTTCGACCAGGCCAAGAAGGCCACCTTCATGGACCACCTCACCGAGATCCTGAGGGTCGCGGACCTCGAGTCGCCCTTCCCTGCTGACGTGACCACCGCTGCAGAAGAGTTGCTCCAGAAGCTGCTCGAGCATATCACGAGTGATGAGGCTGGCATGGCTGGACAAAAGGCGTCGGAGATGTTGCCCGTCGTGGGGAAAGTCATGGAGCTCCTTCACCCTTCGACGCCGCCGAGGCAGGAGTGGATTACAATGCGCAGGCTGATGACCACTGCAGTTGACGCCAGGACCGCCCTTCTTCACTACAAGTCTCTTGGCAATGATGCGGCGTCCAGGGTTGCTTCTGATAAATCTGGTGTTCTTCTCAGGGGGCTGTTCGGTGCCAAGAAATCGGTCCTTGCACAGTCCAGGCAGGCAGACGACAAATACATTGACAGCGTATCCATGCCTACGTTCCATGCTGCGATCGACGAGCTCATCGATTGCGACTCCAAGGCGAGGTACGAGGCCGCGAGGGCAGAGGTCGACAAGATCTGGACGATGCCGATGGACCCTGATGATACCGCCAGCGGCAGCCTCAAAGATTGCTACCAGGGCACGTTCGACGGGAGCAATTGGCATGATGTCATCAGTGCCTCGGCGGACTACGACGTGATTTCCAAGCATGCTGCCAGAACGATCTTGTGCTTGGACCCCATCAGGTTCAAGGCTGCGGTCTCTAAGTTCCAGAAAGCGTTCGGGGACGCCCAGCTCGAGAGGGAGGGGCTGGACGTGAAGCCTCTCACGCAGTGGGAGGTCGAGCAGGCGGCGAGGATCGCCAAGGCGGTCACGACCTCGCGCGAGGCAACGATGATGGCCATCTTCGCGAAGTTCAAAGACAATCGCAACACGTTGCAGTCCAAGGTGAGGCTCGAGAAGAATGCCGCTGAGAAGTCCAAGCCGAGCAGCTGGGAGCACGTGCGCGCGTCGGTGAAGAAGTGCGCGGAGCACGCCATCAAGTTGCTCCCTCTTTAAGCAGGCGGCCAGCTCTATTCAGTTGTTGCTGGTTCGGTGGCCAGTTTTATTCAATTATCGCTGCTCACAGTTGTATTCATTTGCTGCTGGCATGGCTGGCGAGACCAGCGCTATTCAGTTGTTGCTGGCTCAGTGGTTTGTGCAACAGAAGTGGTGCATGAGCACCCACAGTATGGCATGACAGCATCCAGACACATACCATGAGCAATAACACACACACGCATGTTTGACGAGGTTGCACTACCACTGTCTTTGCTCGGGTGGTGAGTTCACCCGAGGCGCGAGGCTGCCACTGAACGACTGCAGGCAGCACCCGCCCTTCAGACAACATAACAAGAAAACAATATTGTATCCAATGGCATGCGCCGTATGCTACATAGCGTTTGTGAGCTCAGGATTGCGAGGGTATCTCAGGCGAAACTGGCCAACCTGTCGCAATGTTTCGAAATACTTGTGCCGTTTAGGAAAGAGACGGCTTGAGGTCAACATGAAGATTGGGATAGGACGTCTGGGGGGGCGTCTCGGTGGGCAGTCATCTTGGGGGGGCGTCTCGGCGGGCAGTCTAGGGCCGAGCTGTCTTGGTGGAGCTGTCTAGGGGGAGCAGTCTAGGAGGAGTCGTCTAGGAAGAGCCCTTTTGGTGGCCAGCTTAGGTTGGGCAGTCTTGATAGAGCTGCCAGGATAATCGATGTCACGTCCCTCCCTCTCTGATAATTTCCAGCTTCCCCTCCCTCTTCTGACCCCCCCCCCCCCCCCGTTATCCCTCATTTCTCCCTCCGCCATTCTTTCTCATGTCTTGCCTCTGCCATCCGTTTCCCTGACGCCCCCGCTCCCCCCGCCAAACCTCAATTCATTATTTTTCCTCTACTTCACAGCGGCTTGCATCACAAGGCCCATGAATTTCCTTGCCACGAGTTGGCGAATGACTGTTCCAGCCTATGTCCAACAATGCCAGCACGTGCCACCACGCGCGCACAGCATTCCTTCCTTTTGGTTCTGCGCATGTGTCGCTAAGGTGTTGGCTTGTCAAGAACCAGCTCCTGAAGCAATTTTTCAGAAATCCGCGATCAAGTCAAAACCCATTGAAGAACAATGTTTCCATAATTCGTTTGAAGGATGTCCTCAAGGAAACAAAAAACTCAATTCCTGTTGGTCACGTCGTGGCTGCAATGCCCCTGGCGAGGCATGCTGGTCGAGCCCTACAGGGGGCCGCTCTGGCGCCGGAGCAGGCACGCGGGAAGCTTTCTGGCCGCGCCCAATTCTTGGAGGCGCCCTCAAGTGGCATCGTCTGGCCAATCCCTCCTCCTCGTCCTCCTCCTCCTCCTCCTCCTCCTCCTCCTCCTCCTCCTCCTCCTCCTCCCCGTCATCCCCCCTCCTCCTCCTCCTCCTCCTTCTCCTTCTCCTTCTCCTTCTCCTCCCCCTCCTCCTCCTCCTCTCCTCCTCCTCCTCCTCCTCCTCCTCTCCTCCTCCTCCTCCTCCTCCCTCTCCCCTCTCCTCCTCCTCCCCCTCCCCCCTCCTCCTCCTCCTCCTCCTCCTCCTCTCCTCCTCCTCCTCCTCCTCCTCCTCCTCCTGCTGCTGCTCCTCCTCCTCATCCTGCTCCGTACCTGTCCCCACGGGCGTGGCCTGGGCCCCATATGGCCTGTATGGTCGAGAAGTCTGGAAGCGGGGTGATCGGCTCACTGCGCTGGGTAGTTCAGATGTTCTTTCGAGGGAACCTTCCTGGGCCCCACCTCGCGGATCTCTCCGGCTCGGGTTCGACTTCGGTTCGTTTTCTAGCTCGACTCAAGGTTAATTCGAGTTCGACTCAAGGCGACGGACGTTCGACAGCATCCACACGTGAGTGGAGCGTGTGACCCCAGGGAGTCCTCCAGCACGAGCACCAGAGATAGTCGGGCAGGGGCCAATCCCAGAACACTCCGCAGGCCTGGAAATCTCCAGCATGTGCTATCGCATCTGGGCTGCTTTGTGGCCCGAGGGGGGGTGAGCGATTGCGAGCTGGCCGGGTCGGCAACGCCGTGCCGATGTCTGCGCGCGGCACGCGCCGACCCGACGACGCCGTGGGCGGTCTCCCTGCCTGCAAGGTTGGGCTCGCTTCGATCGGTCCGGCCGTGTGGGCCGTCCGATTGATGTGCGAGCACGCGTCGCCATGACAGGATCCATTTCGATCCGACCAGTCCGTTTCGATCATGTTCGATGGAGGCGGGCCCACTGCGATTCGACACCAAAATCCCGATGCGGCCCGATGTGTGCGTGGTGTTTTTGTGCATCCTGGCGCAGCCGATCCGGTTCGGTTTCGACTCTCGTGCCGATGCGGCCCGATCCGGCGCACACTCCGATGCGGGCCGATTTCCCGACTCGATGTCGACTGAGCTCTTGCCGTGAAGGAGACGGGTCCCGAGGAGCTTCGCCGACCTCTGGCTCCCAGAGCCCTCCCCGGCCGTCGGCCGTCCATTGTCGCTGAAAGGGTCTGCTGAGGCCGTATGAGGTCCCGCGGGGAACCCTCCCTTGCCGTCCTGGATGCCTCGCGGGCTATCGTCGAGTCCTCCTTGGCGGTCTCGAACTGACGCCGCCCCCTGATAAGGTGAGAATGACAACCTCACTCCAAAACCTAGAAAGGAAATCAGTGATTCGGTCTTCTTCGGACCCCGTTGGAAGCCCTTGTGTGGCCATTTCGGGCCCTCTTGGTTCTTGGGGACATCTTGGGCCGCTTCGAACCAATCGCAGCCCATCCAGAGACGATGCCCTGGCGTCTTGCCCTGATCAGGTGTGCGGAGGATAATGCAGTGGAATCATGGGCTGGGCGTACCCCAAGAGGGGGAGGATGGAGGAGGAGTCGGAGAATGAGGAGGCGGAGGAGGAAAGAGAGGGGGAGGGGGATCGATGTTGGAGGACTGGATGAAGAGGAGGGCGAGCAGAAAAGCCAGAGGCCTGTTGGATGTCGGTCGGAGTCTTCTCGGATTTCTTTCGAGAGTTCCTTGGGGTCTCATTGAAGCGTCCTGGGGGTCTCTTGGGGGCCATATTGGGGCCATCTTGGAAGAGGTCGATCA